TCTCTTCCTCTCTCTTCCTTCCTCCTCTCCTTTCCCTTCCTTCTTCTCTTCCCTTTCTCCTACTCCTACTCTTCCTCTTCCCCTTCCTACCCTCCTTCTCTTCCTCTCTCTTCCTTCCTCCTCTCCTTTCCCTTCCTTCTTCCCTTCCCTTTCTCCTACTCCTACTCTTCCTCTTCCCCTTCCTACCCTCCCTCCTTCTCTTCCTCTCTCTTCCTTCCTCCTCTTCTTTCCCTTCCTTCTTCCCTTCCCTTTCTCCTACTCCTACTCTTCCTCTTCCCCTTCCTACCCTCCCTCCTTCTCTTCCTCTCTCTTCCTTCCTCCTCTTCTTTCCCTTCCTTCTTCCCTTCCCTTTCCCCTACTCCTACTCTTCCTCTTCCCCATCCTATCCTCCATCCTTCTCTTCCTCTCCCTTCCATCCTCCTCTCCTTACCTCTTTCTTCTTTCCCCCATCTTCCTTTCCTCCTCTCCTCCTCTCTCTCTCTCTTTTTCTATTATTGTAGGTGTCTCTTTCAGGTCTCAGTTTATGTTTCCTTGGGATGGTATTTCCGCAAACCCAAATATAATTTGATATCATTTCTTATTCCCTTACCTTTGCTAATCTATCCTAATTATATTTCCCACCCCCTTTTATGTCTCGCTCTTAGATATATACGTATATATTTAATATTTTCTTTTCTGTGTAACTTTGAATGGTTAGGGTTAGGGTTATTTCTATAGCCGTCTTATCTTCTCATAAATGACTCGGATTTCTGTTTCTATTTTTCCCTCCAGGATCCAAGGCAATATCAATTTGGCAGGACAAAGATTTTTTTCAGAGCAGGGCAGGTTGCCTATTTGGAAAAAGTCCGGTCAGATCGACTAAGGCAAGCATGCATCATGGTCCAGAAGAACATCCGAGGTTGGCTTCAAAGGAAGAAGTTCCTCCGTGTCAGACAAGCTGCAATCATCATACAGCAATACTTCCGCGGAGAGAGGACTGTACGGTATTTGCCAGGAGCAATGGAGATGGTCCTTCATGGATTAATGGAGACCTTTCCAACGGACATATTTGGTAGCAAAATAAGCCATTGACTAGGTTAGATGAGGGGGTCTCCAAACTTGGCAACTTTAAGGCTTGCTGACTTCAGTTCCCAGAATTCCTCAACTGGCTGGGGACTTCTGGGTGCTGAAGTCCACAAGTCTTTAAATTGCCAAGTTTGGAGACCCTCCTCCCCCCTTCCGGGTTAGATCCATGAGACAGATCCAAACGATAACGGTTGGGTAGAAAGCACCTTCTTGAGAAGGTGTCTTCAAGGAAGACTTTCACTTACTCAACATCTTTTTCCTGCAGAAAAGCTATAACCGCCAGGGCCCTGAAGGAAACCTGGGCTGCCATAGTCATCCAGAAATACAGCCGAGGATACTTAGTGCGTAGACTTTGCCAACTCATCCGTGTGGCTGCTTTGACGATCCAGGCCTTCACTCGAGGATTTCTAGCGAGGAAGAAATACAGGAAGGTAACAATTTATTGAAGTTCACCAAGGACCCATCATTGATGTTTCATATGTCAGGGTTCCAAATAGCAACCAAAAGTAAATTGAAGGTTGAAGGTTGAAGGTTTAATGCATTTATATGCCACCCTATTCCCGGAGGGACTCAGGGTGGCTAACAAACCCAGGGGGGGTAGAAACAAACAAGGTAACACAACAAACAAGATACAGAGAGAATTTAAAAACAATCAACAGTCACACAATTCGAGGGGGCGAAGGGAACTCGTCAACCCCAGGCCTGCCGGCACAGCCAGGTTTTAACGGCTTTACGGAAAGCCTGGAGGGAGGTGAGGGTCCGAATCTCTGCGGGAAGTTCATTCCAGAGGGCCGGAGCAGCCACAGAGAAGGCCCTCCTTCTCTGCTTTGCATTCTGTTTTATTTCTGCATTGGTCAACAAAACAAATACAATATTATAAAGATAATAAATCAGTAATGTTCTTCTTTCAAAACAACATAAAAACCAGTAGAATTGCAACCAAAATGTCTCACAAAGGTGGAGAATACTTCATTAAATAAATTTTTGGATCAAAAGCAATCAACAAAGTAATTATGTGATCACTAGAAAGAGCATACTCAAATTGTTGTAGACTGGTCGTTTTACTGCATGGAATGCTTCTTGAAATTTATAAAACAAATAACCTATGCTTGAATATGTATCAAACTTTTCTTATTAAG